GTAAGAATCCTTATTTTGACTTCTGGCCACTAAACTAGTGAGGTTTAACTAAAGGTTCTGATGACGCTCCTGACTATTTTATATATCAATTATTGAAACAGATGCGCAGATAGTGCATGAGATACTTGCAAGAGCATTGAAACCCAACGCCTTATCACATCAAACATTTAACTGGTACAATCGGAAAGCATTAATAATACATTTATCAGAAGAAATTCACAAAAAATTATGAACTTGTGCGATTTTCTTATTATTATCTTAAGAATGACTGAATACTATCTACTCGAAACCATGTTGTGAAAACTATGGCAATTTTATCGATTTTCTGAAAAACTGACTTGAAATTGCGATTAACTCGAATTTTATCGTAGTTATGTTAGGAGAAATGATATCTTCGAAAGCAGAGATTAATAAGAGGGAATATTCGCCGATTTCAATAGAGTATTCTCGAAAGTGTCAATTAATTAAAAATTTTCTTTTACATCCAATTTTTCCAATATATTCATTGAAATTTATAACTGAAAACTGGATTTTTTCGCAAAGATATCGTTATTGTACATAAATAACATTGGTCGATATTCAATCACGTACAAGTTAAATGATCAATAAAATTTAAGACTCGGTAACTATTTTGTTTCCTTAGTTAACTAATTATTGGACCAGTAAACGAATAACCTAGTCAATGTTAAAATTAAAATATCTATAACTAATGCTGGCATCAGAAATAGATGGAGAAAACTCTAACATGAATATCTCGAGAACGGAAGCCGATAGAGACCAACAGTTGTCACCATTGGAAAGAGCAAAGTCGGAGGCATCGATCTGTATAAGAGTCATTAGGTGCAGAGAGTTTTCCATTGGTATCTCTGCAGTGATATTTTGTTCGTTGCCGATTTTCACCATTTTTCCGACGAATTTCAAAACAAGCTATAGCAAAATATAGCCTAAAACATCATATATTTATCAGTAAAATTTCCACCATTTATTACTAACTTCTCAGCGTTTTTCTTCGATAAAGTTTCTTAAAAGAACGTGATAAATTTTACCCTGAATATATGGTGTGTTGGGCTATATTTTGCTATAGTTTGTGTTGAAACTCGTCGGAAAAATGGTGAAATTCGACAACGAACAGAATATCGATGTAGAAGTACCAATGGAAAAACTCTCTGTACCTAATGAATCTTGTACAGATCGATACCCCCGGCTTTTCCCTTTCCAATGGTGACAATTGCAGGTTTCTATCTGCTTACCGTCTCGAGATATTTATGTTAGAGTTTTCTTCATCTATTTCTGACTCCTACATTAATAAATTTTATAAGATTTTACGAGATTGTTTTTGACTTCTAAATGATTTATCAGATCATTCATCTTTTTTTTAAATTGTTATGCTCACGACTGACTCCATTTGTAGACATGTAGCGTTGAATTAACATGAGAAATAGAGACGACATTGGTTTTTTCATTCCAAACAAAGAATATTGACTATTCTGTGTTAATGCGCCTCTGTTCAAATGCATTAACCTACTTACGTAGACATTTTATTTTGTTTTTCAGCTTCTTGATTTCTTCTTCTAGTCCAGTCTTTTGCTTATCCATTCGTCCTTCTAGTATAGTCTTCTGCTGATCTATACGTTCGTCTAGTTCGGTCTTCAACTGAACAATTTTTCCTTCTAGTCCAGCCTTCTGTTGATCTGTTCGTTCTTCGAATTCAATCCACTGTTTTTCAAGTTGATCTTCGAGTTGCTTAATATATGAATTCTGACTTTCGATTTTATCAAATAAGCTGTCGAATGTTGAACTCAACTGTTGGTACACGCATACTTTCAAATGATTATTGAGTTGATCTCTTTCTCCCGACCATGTGCATCCAAATTTTGATGTCGTGCATTTCACTTCAGCTTTAGTGCAATCTTTGTTGATGTGTTCATCGAAGTCTCCTCTGTATAGAGGTGCTTCCTCACAAAGTTTACATTTGACATGAAGTCTATTGAGCATTGAGACAACGATGCCAGGTTCATGTGGTTTCAAATCTTCAGTACGCAATGATTGATTGCACCATTTTGACGGACAAGATGAATCGCTCTCGAGATATTGTTCAATGCATTGTCGACAAAACGTATGAATACATGGAGTCACGAATGGATCAATGAACGGATCCTTGCAAAGTTCACATATAAGAAGTGGATCAATGCGATCTTTTTCGGTATATTCGTAGTTATTGTTGAATGTCATCTGAAACGAAAGACAATATTAGTCTTCTAAGGACGCGAATGTGAGTTGTAGTTTCAAGAAAAGAAAAAGACAGAATTCATATCTATCATGAGTTCTCCCAGGACGTGCAACAACCAGGTAAAAAATGAATATAATTTTCTGGTAGAAGAAAACACATCATTTTGTTCAGGATTTCACACTCATTAAAAATACGCAATTCTTTTTTGACAAATATTTTGTTTAAAAAAATTGACATTATCGATACTCGAGTGTATTGTCTAAAGCAAAATATTCTTAGAAAAAATTATAGAAGAAAAGTCTATTTTTTCAATGAATAAGCAGTAACTGACGGTGTTGTATTAGTTAGACGACTAGAGTTACTAATTGTTTGTGATGATGTCGGCGTCAGTACATAAGTCTTCATGAATTCTTTAATATTTTGAGCAGCCACTTGATTTTTCATAAAATGTTCTTGTACAACTGTTATCAAGTCGTTATTTGGATCGATTTGTTGATCTTTTAGCGCTTCTGGTAGTCCACAAATGCCTACTCGACATGGTTGATCAATTCCGTATAGTCCCAAACAACATGCCCACATCAATTTTGGTGGTTTGAGGTTTTGTTCACTGTTGCCATTCTGTACCAATAATTTAGCTTTCTGTGTAATTCTTTGAGCTTGTTGAATGGTCAATGGTTTATTATTCTGATCTAGATCAACGATGAATCCATCGTGATAGTGACAACTGCCGTGATTAACTTGCGCTGGAATATAATTCTGTTGACATTTGGGACATTGTTTGACGGATTGATCGTCGAGACGTTTTGCTTCTTCCTCATTTTCTTGTTGAATCTGTTGAAGCGTTTTCTTGAATTCAATATCGTCAATTAATAGGTTGCGAAGAAGCGGATGCTTAACAATCATAACCATCCATTTCTCTTTCAATTGTTCACTCGTTGTTCCTGTCATCGTCTACAACATAAACTACTGATATTTTTAATAGAATTTTTTCTAATCAACTTTGCTTACATTGCTATTTGTAGTCTTTTGTTCAACAATGGCTGTCTTACATTTTTCTCGAATAAATTGATATAAATGTATGTTTGAAATCGAAACCGATTTTGACATTTGCGAATCAGAAACACTGAGCATAATGAGTGAATCAATATCAAAAATGAGCATTGAACGATTATATTCATCACACTCTTAATTAAGTAAAATGAAGATCATTAGAATATTGCTTCTAGATGTAGAATGAACACCCGTTATACTATAGAAAACATTTGATAAACAGATCATTTTAAGTATGTGTGCTAGTGAGACTGTTTTCATGTCTGCTTTTTTTGTATGATTTTGGCCTGCTAGAAAACCTTATACGGGTCAAAGTTTAAGTTTTATAGACTGTTCGAGTCTGTATTATTTCTTGTGTTCGACAGATATATTTCCAATGATTAGACTATGTAGAATATCGAAACAGAGATTGAGAAGGGTATTTTCGAATATTGAGATGAGAACTTTGATCTCTGAAATCAAGAGAAAATTTAAAAAACACAATTTGTTTTTAAAATCATTTTTCAGTTTCCATAGTTGAATCTCAGTTCGATATTGAAAATTGTCCACTGATGCATTTTGAACTGTACAATATATCTCTACTGGAAAACGAAATCTAGACAGAAATGTATGAAGTTCAACGATTTCAATAGATGAATTTGTAGTATTCGGTCTCTTTTATAAGTACTTCTCGTGTTCCTTAATCATTTCTGGAACTCAATCACGGTATGTCTCATTGAGCTAAAGCTTTAAACATACTTACAACCTAGAAAATGATGAAACTCAGATTCGAGAATATCTTTGTTTTTTAAATACGTCAAAGTGTCCCTCAGCATGAAGATCAATCATGGTTGTTTTTGAATCTTCTATCCGACTCTATAGAGTATTGAAAGTTAGATTTTGGATTTTAAGAACGTGAGTCGAAACTCTTCATTTGGTGCGTAAAGAGAGACAGCTCAAGAGCAGTATATCAATAGGAACATCAAAATCTCAGCTTTAAGAATTTTGTCTCTCAAATGTTCCTCAAAAAAATCTTTCAGTTGACCTTCTAAATCATTGACTTCCAATTCTGATAACTACGAGATACTCCTGATGTCTTGATACATAAGGAGTAAGTCATCTACTATTATGATTTCTGCTTCCGAGAAACAATCAGAGAGTGTAAAGAAGGTTATTTTTACGATGAAACTCTTCCAAAACAAGCATTTCTGAGACGATACAAATCGATTTTAAATTCAATCATTTGATAATTACCAAGAAACGTTGTTGTTAACAATTCGAATATTTGATTTTCATCAAATGCATTATGTTTAGTAAGAAAATTCATGTCAATGATTTGAATGGTATCTATATTTCGACTTGAACATCCATTGATAAAACGTGAAAGTAATGTTAATGTTGATGTCTCTTCAGGATTGAGATCATTTTCTAGTGTAGCATCATTACTCGATAATTCAATTAAACATTTTCGATATTGTAAATCAACAAGGATACGACCCGATGGTGAAAGATTAGGTAATTTAAGTGAATATTTTTCTTGTTGTTCTGTCGATGAAACAATATTTGGATAGAGACGACAAATTTCTGGTAATGTTCCAATACCAAACCAACAACTAAATTCTCTTGCTGCATTGTCAGCCAATTCAAGTAAAGTCTTATCAGTTAGAGTTCCCGAATTTTGTTCCATGGCAACAATAATACTCGATTTAAGTGCACTGACTGCTGCACCACTAAAATTGGTCGCTACTTTCACAAGAAAATCAATACGACTTGCCGTAAATGTTTTCGAATCTTTATACAATAATGGTTCAAGCATTTTCTTTCGAATTTGAGGTGATGGCCGACCAACAAAACATTTTGCTTGCATTCGACGTAGAAAAGCTTCATCCATCATATTACGTCGATTTGTTGCACCGAATACAATTAAATTTGGTATATTTTTGACTCCTTCAATATGTGAAAGAAGTACACTTATTCCGTCTACTTTCGATTGTTGAGCATTATTGTCACGCTTAGGAACGAGTCCATCTATTTCATCTATTGTCATAGCACATATTAGATAAGGTATTGTATTTGAACGAGACATAATGTCGACAAGTAATCTTTCTGTTTCGCCAACGTACGGTCGATTAAGTTCACCAGCTGCCAATGGAGTTGTCGTCATTGTTATACCCGCAAATATGGCAGCTCTTTTCAGCAGTTCAGATTTACCTAAATACAGTGTAAATATTCCATCACCTTTTCTTTTTGTAAAATTAATGTTAAAATAGTCTATTACACATATGTGGTTCACTTTTTTCAGTATCTGTTGAAATATGTATCAAGCAAAGCTATGAAAATTTTCGTTTCTTTCTGATTGCACTCATTGCAATTGAAACTAGAAGTATAACAGTCTTTCTGACCGGATTGACCAGTTTGGTTTCTTAGAAACCGGTTTAATCGATATATTATAAGATGCAACTGCGACCGAAGAGAAGATCAACACCTGTACTCACGTCCATACTCATTTTTATGACTTCTCTAGCTATTGGGTCGCTTTTTCAAGTTTTTGAAAAAAAAAAAAATTTTAATAAGATGGTTGTTCGTCTTCAAAATATTTTCACGACACATACTTGATTTATCAGTCTCTGTTTGCATACATTTAATTGAAAATTTTGAACGCTTGCAAACAATATCTTTGACAAAGTCTCATCTAATGGTGTTTTTTTCAATTGAAATTCAGAAAGAAATTTCTTGAATGATCGTCTATACCTGTCCCTGGTGGCCCATAAAGTAGTAGTCCACGTCCATATTTAACGTTTAATTTTCGTTGTGCATCAGCTATATCAATTTTAAGAATAGCATCAAGATTTCGAATTCGTTCATCATCTTCAGCTATTTTGGTTTCTAATTCACGAATTGGCGCTCTATGTGCTGACAATTGTGTTTGCGCTTGTTGAAGACGAATTTGAGCTTCTTTAAGTTCTTTCTCAATTTGTTCTACTTTTCGTTTTCTTTCATCGTGTTTATCGAATACTTGTTTGGTAATTTTACCACTGACCGATCCTTCAATCAAATCCTTAACTTCAGCATCAATTTCTTTCTTTTTGGAAATAGTATTTTTTAGACCACGTTCAAAAATTTCAACTTTATCTTTGTCTGCTTTAGCTTCTTTCTCAAGTTTATTAACTTGATCACGACGTTCCTTATTAAGTGCCAATAAATGATCCCGTTCTTTAGTCCATTCAGCATGCTGTTGTTTATGTGCATTCGCATCCACCAAAGTATTCCGTAGACAAAATGTTGTTAAATAAGCTTGTATATTACTGAGAACATTTCCATCATCATCATATGTTAACCGTATTTCACGAATAGCCAATTCAACAGCACGCCGATCAAGATAAGGAAGAAATTTTTCTGTATCAGTAACATAATAGAAATAGCGTCGTACACGATGTATATCAGCAAGTAGCGTAGCCTCAGAGTTTTCATATGAATTGTTTGATGGATTGAACGTATGAGAAGCGGTATTCAATTGAATATAATCACGTATCATTTGTTTAACCAAATGCTTTATCGATGTTATTTTCTCCCAAGAGTTGTTGTCGGTTGCTGCCTTGCGAAGATGCTCAATTGTGGCTATACTCTCTTCTAATAAAATGTAAAAACCGATGCAAATCTGACATGTTCCATTCCGAAAGTACAAAAATAAGCTGACTAACAACTGATTGCCAAAGGCAAGAAAGAAATTATTCTCAAGCGTGTGCCATTCGATACACAGAATCCTATCTTTTTTGCATCACAGAGATGGAATTTCTATGTCGAGTGATAAAATGAGAATTTTTCAAGAAGCTATGTTTCTTTCTCAAAGGTTTTTCGTTTCAGATCCTGGTTAAAATTGTTATGCAAGTAAACATCGAAAAGCATATGATAATAGGCATGACGAATGATAAAAAATGTGAAACATATATTTTTGTTTATTCTGTTTCAATTTCAAGCACTCATCGGCGTTTGTGAAGACTCAGATGGAGATAATCTATCAAAAGCATACTGCTAGTTCCTCCATTTGAGTGCTCCGATTGAATTTAAGTGTCTCGATCTAATGTTGATCGTGTAAAACTTCTCAAAAATCTGATTTTCAAATATTCTTTATCTTTATATCATTAATGTAGAACAATATATTGTATCTTAACTTCAACTCTTGACGAAGACACAATGTCACATATTTAAGAAAACAGCTCTTTATCAAACACTTCAAATTCAAGAAAGGCTTTTCTATTGGTTGAAGCTATGAAAAAATAATTTAAATATTGTTATTCTAATCGTCAAAAATTAAAAGGAAAAGTACAACGAAGAAAAAGGCATGCGAACACTAATTAAAATATTATTGTTTGACGGATTCAAAAGATGAGTTGGATATAAGAATAATAATGAGTGGACCATAAAGCATGAGGATCTCCATATTTTCTCGAATTTTCCTAGAGGCTGACTAAACTTCTTTTTCAAAAGATTCAGCATTTAGCTCTCTACAAAACTGTACACAAATAGACTGTCCAGTGATAAAAATACAAAAAGTTATTGTAGGAATATGACGAAAATGTAATATCAACAACTTTCAAGAACAAAATATCATGCTCCTATAATTACCTATTTTCTGATCAAACTATATCGATAAATTTTTTGACAAATCATACTATCAATTTTGTGAAGTTTCAAAAACTGAATGCTTTGGAAAGAAGTTCAGTTCTAACTAATCTAAATTTTTTTTCAAAAAAGAACAAGTTTATACCTTTTAAAGCTCTTTTCCAAAGTACTGCATCTCCTTCATCACAGTTGTTTTGTCGACAGATCTTTTTGAGAAGATCATCAAGAGTGATATTATCATCGTTGTTTGCAGTATTTGTTGATTCATCTTTCTTTTGCTTTTCTTCACGATGAATATGAACTTTAGTCGTTGGACTTGTTTTCCATACTTTTGGAAATTCATTGCGATTCGAATCATTACATTGATAGTCGAGCTCAAGAAGATTAAGTAAAAAATTGAAATTCCATGGTCCGAAAGCGTCATTTTTTCGGACAAACAAATTGGGTCGATATATGATACGTACACTTTGATTACTCATATCGATTGGTTCACGAGTCGATATGAGTGCATACTGGTGAAGTACTGAAACACATTCGCTATTTTCACCGCAACGAAGATGCTCGTTTGGTTGTGTAAGCTCATCAACAAATGCTTGCAAGTGTGGATAACTATATTTCAATCGGATATTCAATGTGATAGCATCAAGAATTACAGCTTCAATTGAATCCGAAGATTGTTTCGTATTACTTCCCACTGAACGCATAGCGATTCCAGTATCAGTAGTAGTATTCGTTATGGAATTATTCTTATTCGGTTTGAACTTGTCCCATCCATATTCATCAGTATCACTCATTCTTAAAGTCTATGATCGAGAGATAGTAAAATTGTAAAATTTCTAAAATTAAATGCAATATTAGTTCTGTATTTGTGATTTAATCAGAATTTCTTCTATCAAAAAGCGTAATGTTTATTTCGATTCGAGATTACAGAGGTTTTCTTTTTTCTAAGATGATTTAAAAACATGGAAATCATCTGTGTTCTCAGTTGAATTGGGAACTAATTTTTCAAATAATATATGCTATCTTGTACGATTATTCACTCTTACATGAGTAAGTAACAGAGGCTTTTTTTCACGATTCATGTCGTAAAAATCATGAATAATCATATTTTACATAAACACCCGATAATCATAATTAGATTTTTGTCGCAATTATGGAATAAGAAACAATTAATCAAAAATCGTGTTTAAACACCTATTTCAGTAAATGATTACACGGTATGAATTAAATAAAAACCGTAGTAACTATAACTATAAGAGCATCTTGTGCACAACTTATTACAAGCCGCTTTATGTGAACAAAAACACCAGTTAAATTTTCATTATTGATCTTTTTAAAAATAATTCAACAAAATTTCTATAAATTTTACATTATTTTGATCGCTATGACTATAAAAGTTAGAAAGCTCGAATTCTAATGTAGTTTAAATCTACACGTCTAGTATATATCAGCCTATTGTATTGAAGAAATACATACAAAAAACATTTTACTTAAGATCAAAACTTATTAGACACTCATTATCTCCTTTTGAAAGAAAAGTAGGCTCTTTCTATTCAATGATATTACTCTTAAATCATATGAGAAAAGATGATTTCATCATCGAGCATAGTTCTGTTGAAATGAGGAATCTAGTCACTAAAAAGAAAAACAGAAACAAAAAGAATCATTTCAGACTTTTTTTGAAAATATATACGTTTTTACTACAATTGTTGTTCACTTCAGTTTTGAGAAACATAAGATGAATTAATAGTATACGAGGCACCAAAATTACAAGTAGTGATATCACACTCATTATTAATGTTTATACTGAACCGAATAGTAGTATCTTATTGAATTAAATTTTACGCCGAACTTGTTCAACAGCGACAGAAACACGTTTTTGTTGGTGTTCTTTGACTTTCTCTTGGATAAGATTGTCGATTTTCTCTTGGTAGTCTTTCTGTAAGTTACAATGATATATTTTGAGGTCGGTCATTGACTTTTCAAGTTTCTCGAGTTTTTCATAATTAGCCTTTCTAATTTGTTCGTTTCCGGTAAATGCTTCATTTACTTGACGAAGTTTTTCACACATTTCAACAAAGTCTTGTTCATTTTTAACGATTTGTATATCTACTTTTCCTATATCTATTTGTATGGATGATAAGTCTTCTTTTGCTATTTGAATTATTTTTTGTGTATTTTCTTGTTGTTTGTGTGTTTTGCTTACGTTTTCTTTAATATCATCCATTAATCTATTGTTGTTTTCAATTTGTCGTACCTTATGTTCTAATTTATCTTCAATATGTCGCACATCCGAGGATAATTTAGCGTCACGTGCATTTAACAAATCGATTTTCTGACGAAGATTTTGTACTTTTTCATCTTGCAATTGGACCTTCACATGCGCATTCTGATATTCACGTTCGACTGTGTTTAATTGACTGTGCATCTCTTGAAGATTTTTCTTCAAAATATATTTTCGTTCAACTAATGCTTTGCCGTTCTCAGTAACGTGTTTTAATTCTTCACTCGTAAATCTCAGTTTTTCATTGAGATTTTCGAGTTGTTTTTTCTTGCCATCTATAAAAGCTTGCAGTTCTTCAGCTTTTTTTTCTTCAGCTTCAATTAACGTTTGTAAATGGGTCACATCACGAATTTTGGCTTTTTCAGAACTGATCATATCGTCGTATAATCGTTGGGTATTTTCACGTTCACCTAGAAATAGAGTTAAAAAAAAAGCAAAAAACAAATATGTGAACAATGTATCTCTTATCTCCTACAACATATTTCAATCGATCATTACAATTAATTTTGACTTTTTGGTTGAGAATTACTTATTCAAATTGATGATGAACTGTTCGAAATAATACAACAATTGATATATCTAACGAGGGAGGTACCTCATGTGATTAACCACTTTTGAGTCAGAACTATGTGCATCATGTAGCGCCTATTGAACTATAAATATCCTAACAAAAGTTCGAGCCCATAGCTTATTGCTGACAAGATACTGCATTTTTGAGGTATTTTTTAATAGAATGCCGAGGTCCTTCTCAGAAACACCAGGAAAACTTTTTTCGAATTTCTTCTTGAAACTTTGCACAGATATAGGCCTTAATGAGAATAGTTTATGATGAAAGTTTCAGATCATTTGGTTGTTCCTATTCCGAAATACGGCTATGGTAAAAGCGTATCTTTTATATCGCTCGTACACACGGGCAGATTCGATGTTCGTATTTCAGGATAGGAACAACCAAATGATCTGAATCTTTCATCATAAACTATTCTCATTATGGCCTATATGTGTACAAAGTTTCAAGTCGAAATTCGAAAATAAGTTTTCCTGGTGTTCCTGAGAAGGACCTCGGCATTCTATTCAAAAATACCGTAAAAATGCAGTATCTTGTCAGCAATAAGCTATGGGCCCGAACTTTTGTTAGGATATTTATAGCTCAATAGGCACTACATGATGCACATAGTTCTGACTCAAAAGCGGTTAATCACTTTGGGTACCTCCCTCGTAAGTCTAATCTTACTGATAAGAAATGACTGCATAGTTATACGACGCGATTTGATGTTGCTTTATTATATATATATATAGAAACTTTCTCATATTCAATTATGTTTTATTTTTAAGGAAAAATATCCATGAGAAAGTAGTAGTTTTGAAAACTCGTCATGTTTGGCATACAAGAGAAAACCTTGAAAGTAATTTAAATTTCCCTCATTTTGTAAAATAAAAGATACGCTGCTATCCTAACGACTGAAGCTAGGAGAAGACTAATTCCAAGTCCATTCAAGTTCAATTTCAATATTTGACTAGAATTGACTTCGATACATCCCTAGATCTTGTTCCGTTTTCGAGAAGGCATCGTATATTAAAAAAGTTCTTAGGAAAAAATGTTGAACGCAAAAAGCTACAATTGAATAAAAGGTAATGATACTATGTGATATCCATTGTCATTTCGATTAAAATGTTTCGACGCCTTTGGATCGAACTTTTTACTAGATTTTTTCAATAAGATGTCGAAATTTCTTTGACTTTGCTGAGTTTGACTTCCTATAAGTTCTAGTACTTTTTAATGTATATTTGATCGTGTAATATAAATATTGAAAGTATTCTTGTGAAAGAAAAGCTACATTTTATCTCTATATTTATATCCTAAAGCAGAAAACATAAATAATAGTCCCACGCAAAATTTTATTTTTACAAAGCTTGAAATCGATATTCAAGTCGACTTGTAGTGGATACTGATAACGAAAACAGTGGAGCTGTGATAGAATGAACATAATTTAAGTCGAAGAAAGGATTTAATCTTTTGAGAAAATGAGTTTAGTCTTGTGTAGATCGAAAACGAGTCTTTAGAGGTGAGATCCGTCGAAAACATATGTGACGAGACATTCAGAAAAATACTGGTCAGTTCGCTTGATCATCGAAAATATAAAAACTTGAAGCGTTTTGATTACATTTTTTAGAAAGTAACCACATATATTCAGTTTTGATATAGATCATAGGATACTTTTATAAACTATATCGATACATACCTTTGAGTTTTTGAAGCATGAGCTTCTGTTTTTGACATTCGTCTGTCTTTTTCGATAATTCTTTATGATTCTCTTTCATAACTTCATTGTGCTCCTTGATAATCTTTTGATGTTGTGCAATTTCCAGCTTTAAATCTTCTACATTCGATTTCAAATCATTTCTTTGATTATTATATGTTGTTCTCTCTTGCTGACAACGTTGTAAATCATTTGTAGTCGTACTAAGATTTGCTTGAGCTCGTTGTAGTTTATTATTTACTATGCGCAAGTTCGTTGCTGATTGCTGTTGTCGTTCTGCAGCATTTCGATGTTGTTCTATCAATTCTGCAACATTAATTTTACATTGACTGAATGTTGTCGACTTTTGTAGAGCAACAACTTTTCGTTGAGCAAGTTCTTTCTTTGTATTGCTATGCTGCTTTTTACATTCAGCGACATTATGCTTAGCAGCACTATGTCTATCACGAAGTTCACTCGTCTTTGACTTTTTATTTTCATGTTTCTCTCGTGTTCGATTCAGATCTTCGCGGGCTTTGTTCAACGTTTGCAGTCTGTTTTGTGTCATGCCGGATATGAACGGTATTGCTATTGCTGCAATTCCACTCTCTAAACTTGCGGACGATGCTAAACTGTTTATGGAGAGAGTTGGTATTGATGCAATTCCACTCATTAACATTTCGAAAGGTTCTAAACTTTTTACTCGAGCTTCCAAAGCAGTTAATTGTTGCTCAGCTTGTTTTTCTTCAAGTTCTGTCTGTGTTAATTGTGCTTGTAATCGTTGCTCTTCATTTATCGCTTTGTCATATTGATTGCTATGTTCACGCTCGAGGTTTTTTAGCTGTGTTAATTCTCTTTCAGCTTCTTTATGCTCGGCTTCAGCAGTTTGTCTATCTTGTACAGCGGCTTCCATTTTCTCACGTAAATCATTACATTCTTCAGTTCGCTGACTCAACTCTTCATCGAGATGATCATGTTCACTTTCTAATCGTTTAACTTCGACCGATTGCTGTTGCATTTGTTGTTCGAGTTGCTTAACAGCTGTATCGACGCGATAAAATAATTCTTCGACGTTAAGTAATTTTTGTTGTAGTCTATTTAATGAATTCATTTGTTTGACACGTTCATCTTCAAGATTTTGAAGTTCTTTTTCAAGCCGTCGTCGTTCATGTTCAAGTTCTTTTCGTTGTTCCTCAAGTTGTGTAAGTTGTGCTTCGGCATTGACAACATCTTGTTTCACTTTTTCCAATTTTTCGTTGGTTAATCGCATTTGTTCACGTAATTCTTCAAGTTCCTTTGTTAATTCTTTGATTTTCTCGTTCGTTTTTCGAATTTCTTCCTCAAGACGAGCAACTTGTTCCAGTTTATCTTTAAGAATAGCTTCTAATTTAGCAATAGTTGCATTTAATTGTTGAATTTGTTTTTCTAAATTTTTCTTTTCTCGTTCCAAAATACGTTGTTGTTCATTTAGTTGTTCGATTTCCTTATCGATAGTCTTGATTTCTTCTTCATATCGTTCAATTTCCCGACGTAACTCTTGAATTTTTCTTTCGTGCTCTTCACGTTGAGCTAGTTCGATAATCAGAATTTCTTCATTCTCACGAAGTTCTTCTGTAATTAATTCAATCTGTCTTTTTAATTCACGTTGTGACAATTGAAGATAATTTTGCGTATTGGCATTTTCAGTCTCTTTATCTCGAATCGTCGACAGTTGCTTTTGTAGCTCTTGCTGCTCAACATTGAGTTCATCAAACATTTTTGTGTATTCATCTAATTCACGTTCTAGTTCAGGTATCTTTGCTCGTTGATCTTCAATGTTTGCCTTTTCGAGAGTAAGGATTTTGTTTTTGTCTAATTGTCTCAAATACAGATCTGTTTTTTCTTCTTCTAGCTTTTTCATTTGTTTGGCTTGTTGTTCTAGCTCACCAAGCAGTTTAGCACTCCCATGCAATATATTATCACATTGTTGTTTGAGTTGTTGTTTTTCTTGGGTCAATGTTTGTTTTTTCTCTTTGAGTTTGTCGTGTTGAGCTGCACAATGATCTATGGCTTGTTGTTTTTCTTCTTCAAATTGCTTGTGTTCAAGTGATCGATCGCCGAAAAAATCATCGGCATGTTTATCAGCAGCATTGACGACCGGAACATTTCTATTTTCTTGAGTCATCCGTGTGGAAATTAGATCTAAACTAATTGATACATTTCTTATCAATCAACCTTATTCCATATAATAATTCATTTACCGTTAGATAGTTGCTTATTGTTAGAGTGAAAATAAAGCGATGCATAAATGTGAAATTTATATAGATAAGTTGAGATTGATTTAACTGCACTTTTTCTTTTAGAAAATTATATGTGTTAGAAAATCTAAACCAATACTCTTAGAAATTTCATTTAATCTTTTGGTCGGGTATGGTTGTAGGTGTTGTTATGGGTACGAATATGACAGTGGAAGTGGATGTGGCTGCGGATGAAGAAAAGATCAACACCCGCACTCGTCGTATTCTATTGTAAACTGCTAAAGTTTTCCCTATTTGCTAGGCAATATTATTTCGTTAGAAACTTTTCTCTAGGCACTTTTGGGTTACAAATCATTCTTCGAAGTCCAGAAGAGATATTCCTTCACTGATACGCATCATTATATGTTGCCAATTCATTCCCACGCCACAGAAATACTCATGTGAGGTCTAAAGCCCTTTTGTTCTGTTAACGTTTTAGCATTGCTCTGAAATACGCAAATTTTTTCTGCAATCTGACTTAATGAATTCTAGCCAGAAAAGCATTTACCGGTGTGTAGACGAAAGTCGTTTCTCATTATACCGGCTGCTTGCTAAGTTATTCGGAGATACCAGCCTTCATTCAAATGCGGACTACTGTTTAACCAGAAACATTTTGCTTTCGTTCCAATGTGCTGTTACATGGCCTGAAGCTTTCTGACTCTATCCTGACAGATGGTGGTGCTACCTGATTCTTTAATCTTAACTTTAATCATTGTTATGTACACTTGTTCTTTTTCCATTACCCTGGCATCTTTAGTTGGACTCGAGGATCTCTACTCTTGATGTCATGGATGTTCCTCTGATACGGCGTTTTTTCTTTCATTCTGACGCATTTGTGCAAGATCCAACACGTCGCGTTTTTACATGACATATTCTGTATTGGATTCGAGTTTTGTTGGCTCCTGGTTTCAATTACTACTATGCATGTCGAAGTCTTCTATCCAAACATCTAGATATTGTTCTATGATCCACAGTTTCTTCCTTCATTGTGGCACATTTATATATGCAAGAAGATATTCGCCGTCGTCCTGACATCTTGCTATCCGCAGTCAATTGAAGCCGATGAACATTAACAACTTTAGCCTTTCTCTTTTGAAGTTTCTAATTATATTATACTAATCATTCAATCGTAGTCTTTGGCATAAGTTTAGGTGATGAGTAAAATTGACCCAAAACGGAAATAACGTAATGATGAGAAATGTAGACAGCATCGTAGAATTGAGGTGTATAAAAATGTTGAAAGACGTACGATAGAGGTAAAAAACAAGTAAGTTAATTAGAGAGCTTAGTGACAAACATCTTTCGGTCGACTACTGGTTCCACATTTCATTCCTATCTTTACTCTTTCTAATAATTCTATTATATTTCCACGATGTATTTGACTTTCAAATTTATCCTTATAAGTTACTTACTACAGCCAAATAATTTTAAAGTAACTCGCCGTAAACACTTGAATCGTGTGTTGTTGATGATTTACAGCTGAGGTCTTTTGTACTTCTTTATCAAATGAATCATATGGTACTTTCCAAAGCTCGCAACATGTTATTTATCTTATCTTTGTTGTTTTTATGTAAATACCTTTCGACTGCGGACTTTGTTGACAACAGAACAACGCTTGTCAATATTAATATATTCAAGGTAAGATAGATACCATGACTGTTATGAAAAGTGTGAACATGGGTATGGATATGGTTTCAGAGAAGAGGAAACTCATCCACACTCACACACCCATAGTATTAGGTATGAGTTTGTATAGATTCCAATGCGAAGTGTTCCAAGAAAGTCATAAGACATGTTTCAATTCATCTGAGAATCATCTTCAGGTGTGTTTAGAAACATTATAACTACAGTCAAATTGATCATGAATATTATTGATAAAAAGTTGAATTTTATGGAACATAAACTTAGAAATATCACTTGTCCGAACGAGAAAACATAGTTCAAATTCACAGATAGAGTTTTTATTTCCAGATCGAAAGACGAATTGATTTTTTAAAAGTATATTTAATTTTCATTTAAATAATATTGCAGAAGTGTTTAAATTCTTATGATTCGAAAAATAATCTTCATTCAACGAAATTCACATCCATATATTATTGTGTGTGCCAGTATATCAATAAATGATTGAGGATAAACATCAAAAAAGAAATGCGCGTCAGTATGTTCGAATTTCTATCTGCCGTATTTGACAAAATATTTTGAAATTAATAAATGTTACTTAATTAGCAAAAGATTTCATCGAATCTTTCAAATACGACTTATTTTCATACATTGACTCTTGGTTACGCATACGTCACCCATACCTTCCAACATTTAATGACATATACCACTTATTGAGGAACCTAGGTGAAGTTAACAGCAGATTCGAGTAATTCCAGCGGCGATTCGTCCAACGACCTGGTCCAAGTACAACTCGACGAGCTCTATCCAATGATATGCTCAGATTTTCGATAGATCAAAGTATGATTCTTGGGCTGATAGATGGCGCTAGTGAGCATCTGAAAATTATACTTTATGCTATCGAAAAACTGAGCATACCATCGAATAGCGCTCGTCGAGTTGTACTTGGACTAGATCGTTGGACGAATCGCCGCTGGAATTACTCGAATCCACTGCTAACTTCACCTACGTTATTGAGGGTGTGATTGTGTAGATGAAGGTACTAGTGATATACACCCTCACACCCATTGTCTCTTATTGACTTATATTTTAGTAATTAAGAGTGTACTCTTTATACACATCAATAGTCTATGCATCATGCTTTGTCGCATGTTTCCTAAAGAAAGTAAAGAAGAAATATTGAAGATTGGTTTACTTTAAAAGTACGCAAAATAATGATATTGTTTTGTCTTGTAAAAATCGATCAGTTTCTTATCAACCATTTAGCTAATTTACTTTATAAAACATTATTGATATAGTTTCTCAAAGCGATATGATATAGACTTCTCACAACAATTTAAGTCAAGACTCAGTATTGACTAAAAAAAGTTAACAAGGAAATTAAATCATTATAATTCGTTTAATGAGCCTCACTCATATAATCGATTTATTTGACTAGTAAGATTGATTGTAATCATTCTAATTCTCTTTTTATTTTTTATTAAAGCATAATTTGTTTAAACGAAATAGTGTTCTCACTTCCTTTTTTTTGCTTTAATTTTTTAATAGAAAAAGCTGCTTAAATGTTTTTTGCATGTGGATGAGTGTGTGTGACAAAAGAAAATGACTACGCTCACACCTACATCCATTTACACCCGTGATGGAGAAAATGAACGTACCTCACTTTCAAACGCAATGTGGAGTTACCTTACTGGATTTGTTCGCATCTATGTCGCACATTTCAATTAAGATAAGTAACTGCTTTCACCTACGGCACAGAATAAATACCAAATCTATTAACTCAAATGGTGGCGATTGTAGAATGGAATGAAATTTTAAAACGGCACTTGTCACAGCATAGACTAACGTTAGTGGCTATTTTATCACAAACTGATATTTTATCATCAGTGCGTAATTTTCTTTATCAAGTCGTCAGACTGTACTAGCACTGTAGAACACGCCATGAAGGTTATCGGATCAATATATCTTAGTTTTTAAACAACATCTACTGGATATCACCGATTGCCAATGATTGTCTTGCTGACAATTAGCATTGTCTCTTTTGCAGCTAATCATAACGGACCCGAAAGAGCTTTTGCACTAAAGCAATATGATAATACCTAAAAGAATAGTTTCTCTAAACATTTCGTTTACAAGAATTTTAAGGTTATCTTAAGTACAAATATAGGCACATTCATAATAAATCACATGAATAAGGAGAACTCAGTTGTTTTCAGTACAGAGATTCTGCTTTGATCTAACATTAAGCAACCGCGTACAATCCTACTGTGTGTGATCGATTTTATGCTTATAATCATATTAATTGTAGAAAAATTCGTTCGATGATAACTGTTGAGTTATAGACTTATTACATGACCAAGAGAATTCTTAAGATGGTTTGTTGCCGTGCGTTTTGGCATCTAGAGCGAATTTCTCAGCATTGACTACTCTTGATTGAATGATTGATAGATCGAAAACTGTCAATCTTGAAAGTATTCATCCACAGAAATTCTTAGAAGTTTCGTGTACTATCATTACACACTTCAAGTATTCTCTTTTCAAAGAAGTAAAATTATTATGAAGAAAAGAAGTAATCTTACTTTGAATCAATACAGAAACCATGGTCATTCTCAGGATGAATAGATATCTTTTTATTATTTGATAAACAAGAAATTTATTCAAAACCAAATACCGAATATATGTGGTTTGGATCTCCAACTCCATGATCGAGGACACTTCATTCCTTTATACCATTCAGATGCCAATTCAGTCAAATCGTAAATAGTATTTTCGCATAGTTCTAGGCGACAACAATACAATATGAAATGAATGAGTCTTGAAAAACGATTGAATACGAGTCGAAGTTCATTTTGAAAATGGTCCAGTGTGAGCCATGACGCTGGATCAGAATCGCCGAAGATTGTCAACTTTTTTAGTGATGATGATGATGAATAAGAGTAAATAATATCGACAATTTGAACCAATTCAAGAAAGGAACTTATTCTATCGTCACCACAGAAAAGAAGTACTTCAATATGATCGGCAAGAAATATGCAAAGTTCGATGTTGAATAAAAGAGCAAGACTAAATGCAAGTGTCGCCTAAACTTCCAGTTCGCAGAAACGTGGAGCTCGTTGAGCAACATAGAGTAGAATTGGCAGATTAAGACAGATTTGATTTCTATCATGAAAGAGAAAAAAAAACAAATTCAATCTTCAGAATATGCCTGTTGATGAAGGGATGACTAACATTCACATCAAACTATTCGTTAACCAGAGTCATTTTAAAACCAGAACAGGATGAGAAAAGTCAAAATCTCTTTCATATTGATTTCTTTAATTCGAAAAAAATTGTTCCATGTGAGGCACGACATTTTCAGATGAAAGAAATACACCTTTGCAAAAAACAATTTTTCATTGAAGATTTTTATTTAATTTTAATGTCTTAAGTCGAATCATGAAATCATCAATCTCGCTTCAATATGTCTGCCAATTAGACTCTTATTAATTTATTTTAAACTTAGTTACTCATTTTGTTAGACAATCAGATCAAATACCGAAGAAAATCAAACAAAACATTTCACTTACGGATCTGTTATGTGATCATCCACCATGCTTATTTTTCGAAGATTGCTCCAGTGAGACACATTATGTACAGCTTGTATCTATTTATCTTTCATATGATTCGAGTCTTCGATATCCAACTAGAATCAAATACATTCAATAACAATCATCGTATGCAATGATTAGACTAGCTGCGAAATTTCTAAGACATAGATTTCGTTAATATCTTTTGATCTCATGAAAATGATCAGTTTTCCAAGAAAATAAAATGTTTGAATGTTGAAAATTCTATTTTTTTCCTTATATTTTGCTCGGACAAATATTGAGAAAAATCTTCGAAATGAACACTTTCTATTTTATTTCTTACCTTTTCATTCAATAGTAATCATTGAATAATCATCATCGTCGTTTTCTTCACTTTCATACTTGCTGTCATTTCGCATTGATTCAATGCTAATCGGATAATGTATAGCAATGTTATGTTTTTGATCACACTAGTGAGAACCGAATATTTTGGTATAATCAGTAAACAAGTCATTCAAATGTTCTTCATCCTCGTCATTGTCACAGACCACTGAAAAATCTAATCGAACATTGCATCTCTGCGATTTTGGCATAGATAACCATCGTGCTAAGCTGTATGCAGTGGGAAGGTCAGCATTCTTGCTAAAATTCATACGACCACGAAATGTAAATTCTTCAAGTTGTTCGCAACGATAGAGATCTTCGAAATAACATAATATTCCTTGAACGTATGCAGAAAGTTTGACTTTGATACGACGTAGTTCAGGTGCACAAGTTCGATTCAATGGTGTCTGATGAGATGGAATTATCAAAAGATGTTCACGGTCATGATGACTAAAACATATATGATTTTGTAAAAGATTTAATGAAATACCTCAAATTATGATTTCTGATCAACTTAGTGTATCATTTCCTCTAACTTGAAAAGATAATTCTTAGCTATAGACATGATTCAATGTGTACTTACTAAGGAAATTTAATATTCAAATTACGTAATTTTGGTAAACGATTATTGTCGAGTAATTCCACCAACAATACGCACGAATATTGATCAATCGAGAGTGTATATAGATGCCAATGAGTCTTGATACGAGAAGATATATCGTTAAGATCATTGATATAGCTCTTGTTATACTCTGATGAAATTCGCAGGTAGAGTGACTACAATTGTGAAAGAGACTTGAGTAATGTGTATAATACTATTCATGTCGGTCCATATACGGTAATCACAATAATGATATAGATCGTTATTCAAATCGATTGAAAATGATTTGAGAGTAAGTGATGGTAGAAAATTGTCTATCAATGAATCATAGATATGTACAGGTACATCTCTGATAGAAATTTTTTTCAAGTTTGAAAAGATGAATTTTTGACCATATAGTTCGAAAAGAAACGAGTTAACTGCATGAGGAGTACGCGGTGTTCAGACAAATGAAGATAGGCAATTTGTGATGAATATTGAGGTAGAACATATGCGATGTAATTATTATAGATATCTATGCTCATGTGTCGATTATTGTGCAACAAAAGAGGATGATGCATGATGATGGATGAAAATCGACTATTAAGTTCTTCAAATGCATTGAGTAGATCGAGTGGAGAAAGGTATTCGAAAATGAAAAGAACGACTTCGGCGGACAAATGTTCGAACAGTGTAGGTGAACATTGATTATTCATATCTTATGATCGAATGTGATAAATGAAGAGAACGATAGTACAGTGTAGACTCATATATATATATAAAGTCAGCGATAGACAAAACACAGCTGCTATATTAATTAGTCACAGACCATTTTGTCTCAGTCAATTAGCCAAATTGAAAAAATTTAGTTTTGATAACAGTTGCCATGAAACAATTCACTGAGTTCAACCCCACAACTACATGGTACATTAAAACGTTCTCAACGTTTCAACATATTGACTTTGAGTGTGAATATGTCTTTGCTTCATCTACACTCCACATCGACATCCACCCCACAAGAAGTTTATTTATTGATGAAACATAATTTTCATTAGAATATATTTCTCCTACAAATTGATAAGAAGTAGACGAATAGAAGATTATTCACCATAAGGCTAAGTATGGGAAAAGAACTAAGGTGTGTTCAGATGTATCTAAGAATCAATTTTGCCGTTTATTGTTATACTTGAAAGTGTTTACATATGAATATGTAAAGATAATTTAGAATGTAACAAAAATAATCTAGACAAGAGAAAAAGAATATGAAAAGAAAGAGAAGAAGAACAGAAAGACCGAGATAAGGATAAAAGAAAAAAATAAAAGGAAAGGAAGATAAAAAGAGGCACATAGATGCGCATGAATGCGTTAAGTCAACAGAATCAATTCTCTTAAGCAACAAAAACTTATATATCTCTCTCAATTTTTTCACTCTCCCATTCGAAAGAAATGATCAAAATAATCTCCTTGACATGACGTGTGGAGTGCTAGTACTGTTAATATACGATAGCATACAGTTAAAAGTCATGATTCATCAATTGATACGGTATAGGTTCTCCCATAGGGTATGGGTGTGTGGGTGTGAGTGTACAAGAAGAAAACACAAGTACACCCACACCACACCCACCACACGCCCACACCACACCTACCCCACACCAACACCACACCCACACTCACACCCCACACACCCACACACCCCATACCCACACCCAAAAAGCCTGAAGTATATTATAGATATGTAGATGATATTTTTATGATCATAAATGGAACACAGAGGGACATATTAAAATTTAAAAAATTCATGAATGCTTTAGAAACAACTATTAAATTTACAGTAGAAGTACAAGCAAACAATAAATTACCTTTTCTTGATGCCATGATAAAAAGACAAGAAAATATCTTAATTACATACGTATATTATAAATCAACAGATACGGGTTTATGTCTTAAATGGGTTAGTAACCAACCTAAGCTATATAAAATTAATCTCATCAAATGTCTATGTAATCGAGCTATACGAATATGTTCATCAGCTGTTCTATTAAAAAAAGAATTAGATTATTATAAGAAAATATTTCTTGCTAATGGTTATCCGCACAATGTAATTAAAAATACAATGAAAACATTTGAATTAAATAAACATAATAATAATAATAATAATAATAATAA